TTTCCCCCGGCCCCCCCCCCCCCCCCCCCCCCCCCCCCCCCACCAAAAAACAAAACAAACAAAAAAACAAACAAATAAAACAAAATAAATAAATAAATAAAATAAATAAAAGAAAGAAAAGAAGATGGCGATGAACGTGTTTCGGTTTGCGGGGGACCTGCTGCACCTGCTGTCGATCGCGCTGGTGCTGCTGAAGCTGCGGCGCAGCAAAAACTGCATCGGCATTTCCTGCCGCATGCAAGAGATTTATTTGGTGGTTTTTTGCGCGCGTTACGTCGACTTGTTGTACAGTTTCATTTCCATTTACAACTCCACAATGAAGGTTTTGTTTATAGCTTCCACAGCTTACACAATTTATTTAATTCGCTTCAAACCTCCAATATCTCAAACTTATAAAAGAGCAAGAGCTGACAACTTCCCCCATGAAAGATATTTGCTGCTGCCTTGTTTGCTGCTGGCGCTGCTGACCACAGAGAGCTACGCAGCTGCGGAGCTGCTGTGGACTTTCAGCATTTGGCTGGAGTCCGTGGCCATAGTGCCGCAGCTGCTGCTGCTGCAGCAGCTGCGGGAAGTGGAGAACTTGACTGGAAATTACGTGGCTTGTCTCGGACTTTACCGATTTATGTACATTTTAAATTGGGTTTACAGATATTTCGCAGAGCCGGTTCCTTATGTTAATTATGTGGGGTGGGTCGCGGGCTTTATTCAAACTGCGCTTTATGTCGACTTCTTCTTTTATTACGCGGTGGCCAAGTGGTATGGAGAGAAACTCGTGCTGCCAGTCCACACCGAGGTCTGAAGCTGCTGCTGCTGCTGCTGCTGCAGCAGCAGCTGCTGCTGCTGCTGCTGCTGCGGTGGGGGAGGAGGAGGGGGGGAGGAGCAGCAAGGGTGCAGGGTTCAAGTCCAGTTCAAGTTTGACTCCAGTTCTGGCCAAGTTCACTCGAAGTTCAACTCGGATTCAATTCAAGTTCAAGTCCAGATCAACTCCAATTCAAATATTCAAGTCCAGTTCAACTCCAGTTCAAGTCCAATTCAAGAAGTTGAATTCAAGTCGAATTCAAGTTGAACTTCAATTCAATTTGGTGGATCTTTTTTGGGATCTTTTTTGGGATCTTTTTTGGAGGGAAAGGGAGCAATTGAAGAGATCTTTTGGGGAGTTCAAGTTGAAGTGCGATCGGCGGAGTTGGAGTTCAAAAGGGGTTTGAATGGAGAAAGAAAGCTGCATTTGGGAGTGGATTAGTCAGGAAATTGAAGAAAAGGAGAGAAAAGGAGAAAAGGAATTCAAATAAAACTCAAAAAGACAAAAAGGGAATTAAATTCATCTCAAAACAAACAAATTCACAAGTTCTCGAGCGAGATCTGCAAATTCATGAACTCACTGGAATGCAAATCAATTCATGAATTTTTGCAAGAAATTAATTGTGAGGATTCCGCAAATTAATAATTCATGAATTTGGGATGAGATAAATGAAATAAATAAATGAAATAAATGAAATAAATGAAATAATGAAATAAATAAGTGATTTCAGAAAAGTTGAATTTTGAATTTGCAGTTTCGCGAGTGTGCGGCGTTCGTGAAAAGATGAATTCGAAATTCTTGAACGCGATCATAAACGAATTATGAACTGGCGAATTAATTCAAATAATTAATTAATTAATTAATTAATTATTAATTAATTAATTAATTAATTAATTAATTAGTTAATTAATTGTGGCGGCCTTCAATGAAAGAGTGGATTCAAGAATGAATTCATTGCGAACGAGATCACCAATGAACGGATCCGGGAGAGGCCTCAGGGTGAATTAATTCGGAAATAAAATCCCAAAAGAATTAATAAATTCAAAAAGAATTAATAAATCCAAAAAGAATTAATAAATCCAAAAGAATTAATAAATTCAAAAAGATTTAATTTGTGCACTCAAGTTCAACTTGAATGCACGAATTCGCGAGTGGCGGCTGCTGCTGGAGAAAACGGAGGCGTCGGTTTATTTGAAATGGAATCTGTTCAAATAAAACATTTATTAATAAAACATTTATTAATAAAACATTTATTAATAAAACATTTATTAATAAAACATTTAATCCAAATAAATCCAAATTATCATTTATCCAAATAAAACGCGCGTTCAAAGGAGTCGAGGAACCGTCGCGGGCGCTAGCAGCACAGCAGCAGCAGCAGCGGCAGCAGCAGCAGCAGCAGCAGCAGCAGCAGCAGCAGCGGCAGCAGCAGCAGCAGCAGCAGCGGCAGCAGCAGCAGCAGCAGCAGGCTGTCGCTTTCATTTCTTGTTTTCTGCATTCTTTCTGTCTGCCGAACTTGGGGGCCAACAAGAGTTTTGGAAGCTGCATGCAGTTGCCAGCTGTATGTACACCTGAGTGCATGCATGCATGCATGCAAACACTCGCTCGTGAAGTCAAATTCAACTCCAATTATTTCCTTCTTTCCACTTTTTCTTTGCATGCATTTTCTGCCCCCTCGGCGGTCCAGAAGGACCCAAAAGCACGAAAAGGAAGTCGCGGGCTGCAGCCCCTGCATGCATGCACTTTGCATGCATGCAAACTGCATGCATGCATGCACTTGCATGCATGCAAGCTGCATGCATGCATGCATCTCGCGTGCATGCAGTTTGCATGCATGCAGGCTGCATGCATCTCGCGTGCATGCAGTTTGCATGCATGCAGGCTGCATGCATGCAGCTCAGGGGGCGGCGGCGGGGCCTTTGGGGCTTTGGGCGGAGGAATAGTTCTTTATAAAGTCGTTTGGGGCTGCCGCATGCATGCAGAGTGCATGCATGCATGCAAGACGCATGCTTGCATGCGCAGTGCATGCATGCACGCATGCACGACGCATGCATGCATGCATGCATGCAAGACGCATGCTTGCATGCGGAGTGCATGCATGCATGCATGCAAGACGCATGCATGCGGATGCGGAGCTTGCATGCGGAGTGCATGCATGCATGCATGCAAGATGCATGCATGCATGCGGAGTGCATGCATGCATGCATGTAAGACGCATGCATGCAGCTGCACAGTCCTCAACTTCAAACATTTCAGTCTGTCTGTTTCCTTAGCAGCTCGGGACAAGTAAATGCGACTTAAGCGAAATATAAATAATTAGAAAATGCAATTTAAATAATAAAAGACAATTGGAAAATAAAAAGAAGATAAATGAGGCCTCTAGTGCTCAAATTCAGCAGCTGCTGCAGCAGCAAAGTCAGCAGCTGCTGCAGCAGCAAAGTCTGCACTCGCGAGGCCTCGCTGAAACCCTAAACCCTAAACCCTAGACTTGGCCGCTGTGCCAGCGCAGTGAACTTGGCAAGTCTTTTAATTCATTTTCAAATGAATTAAAACCCTAAATTAGTGTTTTATGAATTGCCGAAAAGCGGAGTTGAATACACTCGGCGCGCGCTGCAGTTTCAGGTGTACGTACACCCCAGCACAGCGGCGCGCCGCTGCCGCAGGAGCCGAAAGTGGAGATTATTAATTGTTTTCAGTTTTAAATCATTTCGAAACAAAATAAAAGTCATTTTAATTCAAAAACATTCCAAAATAAAACAAAACTTTTCAATAAAGAGTCGCGAAAAGCCGACGCGCCTCAAATCCGTTTCCTCCTGAAACAAAAAGCCCCAAAACGCATGCAAACGCAAGCCCACACTGTCGCTAGCTAGCTAGCCACTAGCCACCTAGCTAGCCAGCTAGCTAGCCAGCTAGCTAGCTAGCTGCTAAACTAGCTACACAGCTAGCCAGCCAGCTAGCTAGGGTAATTGGATGGGTAAGTAATTAGCTAGCTAGCAATACAACACAAACTAGCTAGCTGTTGAGGTGGCTAGCTAGCTAGCTGACTGCGCCTTGCTGGAAAGCCTTCACCTGGCTAGCTAGCTGCTCAACTAGCCGCATGACTGCGTAGCTGCGTAGCTAGCCAGCTAGCTAGCCAGCGCGCCAGCTGCACAGCTACGCAGGCAGCCATTCAGCTAGCCAGCTAACCATCTGGCCATCTAGCTAGCTAGCCAGCTAGCCACCCAGCCTGCCAGCTAGCCAACCAGCTAGCTAGCTAGCCAGCTAGCCACCCAGATTGCCAGCTAGCCAGCTAGCCAGCTAGCTAGCTAGCCAGCTAGCCACCCAGCTAGCCAGCTAGCTAGCTGGCTAGCTAGCCAGCTAGCTAGCCAGCTAGCTAGCCATTTGCAGTGAGGGCGGCTGACCGGAAAGCATGTAGAAGTACTCGAGTTTGTCTCTGGGGAAATTGTAAATGGCATTTTTTTTTTGCAAATAAGAAACGAAAGAAGCGAACTCGAGGGGGGAGAAGTTGCGCACAGTGCGGATGTCTTCGGGTCTGCAGAAAGAATTAAAATTAAAATTAAAATTAAAATTAAAATTAAAATTAAAATTTAAATTAATCTTTTTGCGCCAATTTCGAGTTTATTGTTCACTCGTTTCGAGGGTTTTGCATTCAGAAGAAAAAGAAATAGTTCTGCAGATTTCATTTTTCAAAAAAACTCCGCAACGGCGATTTAAGGCACCCACAAACCCTAAACCCTAAACCCTAAACCCTAAACCCTAAACCCTAAACCCTAAACCCTAGCTCACTTGACACCCAGAAGCTCAGGGCGATAATCTCTCCTCCTCATTCTCTTCCAGCTCGTCGCCACAATCTTCAGCCCTGTCCACACACCCTAAACCCTAAACCCTAAACCCTAAACCCTAAACCCTAGCAAAGATATACTCCCCAGAGCCAGGCCTAGCGGCTGCGAAACAACTCAATTAGGGTTTTGGGGGTCTTGCTAGGGTTTAGGGCTGCAGCTAGGGTTTGCGTTCCGCAGCGAAAATTCAGGGTTTGTACTCAGGGGCTCAAAGTCTCATTAGGGTTTGAAATTTGGCTAGGATCCTAGGGTTTAGGGTTTAGGGTTTTAGGGTTTAGGGCCCTCGCCCCTATTAAGCGCTCAGGGTTTGGCTTCTATTAAGGGTTTAGGGTTTAGGGTTTGCACTCGGCGCGCCGCCCTTCCTCCGCCCGGCGTTCGCAGCAAGAACCTGTGGCCTAAGGCCTACAGCTTAGGGTTTAGGGTTTAGGGTTTAGGGTTTAGGGTTTAGGGTTTGCCTCTTTTGAACTGGGCCCCGTTGTAAGGACTCAGGAGGCGCGGGAGGGCGAGGAAGTAGGCGGGAATTTTGCCTCCGAATTTGGTGGTTTCGAAGCGCATGGAGAGGTAGGGGGTGACGGGGAAGAGTTCGTTGTATTCATCTGAAAAAAAACAAAAAATTGAATTAAAAATCAAAAATAAAAGATAAATTAATTAAATTAATTGCAATAAATAGCGTTTTACGCAGCGGATCGGGGGGAAGTGGCGCGGGTTTCGCCCGCCGCCGCCGCGCCCGCCAAACCCCGATTTAGGGTTTAGGGTTTAGGGTTTAGGGTTTAGGGTTTCTGCGGACCCACAACCAGCAGCAAATTGTACACTGTTTGCTTCTTCAATTGTTCAAAAGCTTCGTAAACTGCTTGAGTTGCAAAAGCCTCATTTTCAACTCCAAAAAGACAAAGTTCCAAAACGCTCCCCGGGGCGGGCAGCCGCGCGCTGCACGCACGCCCCAAACCCTAAACCCTAAACCCTAAACCCTAAACCCTAAACCCTAAACCCTAAACTCTGGGGAGCGAAGGCGACAGCGCAAGCGCGCAGCGACGGAGGGCTTTACAACAGGCGCAAAGTCAAAAAGCCACAGCTCAAACCCCAAACCCTAATCCCTAAACCCTAAACCCTAAACCCTAACCAGAAACAAGAACACTAGAACCTCACGCCCCACACATATCTCGGGCTGCGCAGCAGCCGCTGCGTAGGAAAAGGAATCGGTAATTTTAGGGTTTAGGGTTTAGGGTTTAGGGTTTACCGAATAGAGGGAATGGAAACATCTTTGCTGTAAGCTCTCCACAGCTTCAGTCGCTCCCGCTGCCACCGGACGGCATCGTCTAAACCCTGTGCCCAAACCCCTAAACCCTAAACCCTAAACCCTAAACCCTAAACCCTAAACCTTAAGTCCTAAACCCTCGCTTTAACCCTAGCTCCCAGAACGGCGGCAGACAAAACCCCAGGCTGAAACACTAGGCGCACAGAAACCCATATTAAGCTGGAAGAGGAACCACACATCATATCCGCACCCCAAACCCTAAGCCCTAAACCCTAAACCCTAAACCCTAAACCCTAAACCCTAAACCCTAACCTCGAGTTCTGGGTCTGCACCCGTGGTTGCACAGAAGTCTTCTTTCATCTCCTCCAGGTCTTGAGAGACAACTGATTCCAGCAGCGACTCATAAGCTCGAGCAGCATACTTGCGATGCGCCTGCAGCAGCAGCAGCAGCAGCAGCAGCAGCAGCAGCAGCAGCAATGGAGGCAGCAGCAACAGTGCGCGTCCCGGGCAAGTGCCCGTAGCCGGCAACAGCGACAGCAACAAAGAAGCACAAAAACGAACACTCCCGCCGCCTTTGCAGCAGCTGCAGCAGCAGCAGCAGCCACAGCAGCAGCAGCAGCAGCAGCAGCAGCAGCAGCAGCTCACCCCATCAAGTGCTGCTTGTCCGTATATCTTTTGGTCTACGGGTATTTGGGCCAGCAGCTGGCTGTTGTAAAGTAATAAACGCTCCAGGAAAATGCGGGCGAATTCAGACTGAAACACAAACACATTTGCTGCTGCTGCTGCTGCTGCTGCTGCTGCTGCTGTAGCTGCTGCTGGCAGGCGTGAAGTATAACTGCCACTACAGCAGCAGCAGCAGCAGCGCTGCCAGCAGCGAATCTCGCAGCTGCCGCTCCACCCGAGCAGCAGCAGCCGTCTACTCATCCTCAACAGCAGCCTCAGCCACAGCAGCAGCAGCAGCAGCAGCAGCCACAGCAGCAGCAGTGGCAGCCAAAGCCAGGTCGGCGGCAGCAGCAGCAGCCACAGCAGCAGCAGCAGCAGCCGCAGCAGCAGCAGCAGCAAATACGTCCCCCCCCACCTACCCAGCAGCAGCACCAACAGCAGCAGCAGCAGCAGCAGCAGCAGCAGCAGCAGCAGCAGCAGCAGCAGCAGCAGCAG